CATGACATAATGACACACACACACACACACACACAGACACACACGCATACACACACACACACATACACACCTTCTAAATATGCAAATCTTCCGAATTCTTTTATCAAATCCGGAATTTACCGGAAGTTCCGCCGACTGCGAAATCCCCCTTTACCCACAAAGTCCCACCGTCAGCTATGAAGTAGAGCTCGTTAAATAAGGCGGATTTGTACCAGGATGGCAGTTTGCTTGGTTGGGTTAATTAGTGGATAGACGGATGGAGAAATTTATAAGTAGATGAGTGAATGTGTGAATGAATGAATGGATGAATGAATGTGTGAATGAATGAATGGATGGATGAATGAATGGATAGATGAATGAACATATTTTTGATAAGATTAACTAGTGAATGAATGGGTGGATGGATGGTTGAAAAAATGAACAAATAAATGAGTGGAATATATGAACCAGCACATCTCCAGATGACGAAACAATCAAACTAAACTCAAAGAAATTAACGAAAAAAAATTTAAAATATGCATGAAAAAATTTAAGTTCTGATTGGCTGACCTACATCTGAGGACCTCCCACTGCCATTTTTCTATATTTGTCGTCCAATCAGGATAGCTCTTGAAAGAGTGACCGACAATTTGCTCAAGGGAATGAAAAAATGTTGTATACCTCCTGTTTCAAAGTTTCAAAAATACTATTTTTTTTTACAATAACTGCTACTACTACTACTGCGGCTGCTGCTACTGTAGCTACTACTACTACTACTAAAATTAATAATGCTAAGAAGAACAAGAATAATAAAAATTACCGTTCATAAACAATATCCCGCTTAGCAAAGCAAATCTTGGGCATGTACCAGCTCAAACAAAACTGGGAATTTCTGACCGTTCCCGGCTCCTGATTGGTCGAAATGCACACGGCCACGGCCAGCTCTTCTCCCTTATTGGTCGTCTGGCTGGTTCCTTTATAGCCAATGAGAGTTGAAATTGAAAAAAGAAAAACAATCCATGGATAAATTTGACATTCGTAAAAAAACGCGTCAACAAAACAATGAAAATAAAAACAACAACAACAACAATAATAATAATAACCAATTTCCTTATCCTTGTTGAGTCCTCCCTCCTGCCACAAATAATCCCACAGGATCGATCCGTCAGAGTTGGGATCGAAATATAACATGCGGGACACCGTGTTGGAGTCCTGTTATTATTATTATTCGTATTGTTGTTCTAATTGGTGTAATTAATCAGTTAAATCAATCGACTAACTAGTCAACCAGTCATTTTATCAATCAATCAACCAGCCAACCAATCATGTTATCATTCAGTCAACCAGCCAACCAATCAAGTTATCATTCAGTCAACCAGCCAGTCAGCCCACCAAACTAATCTTACATTCATCAATCCAGCAACAGCGTAAGTACAATCCATCTCACTAATCTTCTGCCTAATCAGGACGCCAGAATAATTAGGGAAACTATTATCAGCACCATCACCGAGGTCCATAGCGTTATCATCAGCTAAATTTTGAAATCCCTCACTAAAAACGCCACCATTTTTATCCTCTGGACCCCCTTGACCGTTCTTAAATGTGAAAGTGATGCTGGCTTGTATGGGTTTTTCCGAAAGGTTTTCTATCGACCAATCAAAGATTGCACATGGTAGGCTTGAATCCTTTTGATTGGTTGGTTGGTTAGTTGATTGGTGGATGTGTAGGTAGATGAATAAACAAATGAATAAATGAATTAATTCAAATAAATATATCCTAACTTTATATTCTTTAGGCAAAAAAGGTGATGTCTGCTTGCATATTAGTCGGACCCCAAACTCTTCAATATTATAAACTGTCCATGAAAATGGATAGAGGGCATGGTAGACGCCATTTTCTTTTGGGAAATCCCACTTCCAGGATTTTAGGACATTTTTTGGTGGCCGGTTTGGACTGAGAACGTTCTGGTATACAGTCTTGTTGTCTTGTCTTAAGGTTAGGATGAACTGAAAAGACAACACTCATTTATCCAAGCAATTCAAACTATCATTCATTCAGTCCATCCACTAACTTGATCAGCATGAACCACATCATAATTGTAGATTCCGGGTCTCATTTGAAATCGGCAAAACTCCCCCTTGGAACCTCGGCCAATGGTGCCACCACCTATGCCGCCAATTGGAGCACCTAACAATAATAATTATTATTAGCATCATTATGCTTAAAAATAGAATTAAATTAAATAAATTACCATATATAGGTTTCCAGTCAACCATATTGAAGTTATCTATAAACAATCTTTTTCCTCTCCTCCTCTGCCTGTACCAATGTTTTGTGTACCTGGAGTACAGGTGGGAATTACATAATTACACATTTGAAAACCTGTGTCTTGCATTAGACACTAATTTTAGTAAATAAAATTTTTTAAAAACACTATTGAAACTCAATAGGCATTTTTTGAACAGGAATTTTAAGTTTTATTTTTACCTAAAGAAGAAGCCAACATGTTTGTAGACATGTTTCAGCCGGGGACGTTTGAATGGCCGACATTTTTTCGTGTGTACGTAATCAAAACCCAATCTATAACCGTAATCCGGCAACCCGGCAATTTTAGGCAGGGGCTCCGTTGACAACCACGGACGCTCCTGTTCAAGGCTCTCATAATTACTTAAAAATAAATTCGGACTGTCAACCATATTTGAGTGAGCCATACTTTAATTAGTAGCGTTTCCGTCTAAATGGCGCCTTATGAAACAGTTGGTCATTGCCCGGCAACGCTTGCCAGCTGATTTTTTAACTCGGACTAGAAACACCTGAGTGATTTAAAACTTAAGTTAACTTTTAAAATTTAGTTTTAAGTGAAAAATAAACTTAAGAAACAATAATAAAAATTGTTTGGCGTTTCTTTTGAAAGGCTAAAACATTTTAAATGTAATTAAAACTGAAATATTAAAATTTAAAAATACTTAATTGTAAAATAAAAAAAAACGTTAGAAATATTTTTTTTGAAAATAAAATTATAAATCTATTTGATCTTTATATATTTATGTATCTCCTTTGTAATTGCCATACTGTTTTGCCTAATTGGTGCGCAGATTTGCGAATAAACTCCTCGAATTTCATCATTCCGCGCAACATTTCCCTATAAAAGGTGGGGACGTTTTTAACTTAAATGTTACTTTGAGTTAAAATTGCAAAAAAATCATGTAAACAATGTTTATTTAAAACTCATTTGCTGAGTTTGGCTTACACGACGTGTCACATTTTTCGCCAATTCAATCCAAAATTTCGTTTTCAATTGAGAAATGTTTTTTATGTCGTAAAAAATGAATTAGTTCGTTAATGGAAGAAAGTTTCCGATTTATTCGTGATTTAAATTTGCGGAGTGAAAATATGTGTAGCAGCAATTCATGTACTCAACAAATTAGCGATAATAAACGAAACCTGATTATGTCCAATAATTATTTTTCTAATCCACCCCCGACAGCCACGTTGGCGTCCGAGTTAGCGACAACTAGCAACGACCTAATTTCCGAGATGGCTCGCAGAAAGAAATCACGAAAGCCCCCACCGAAGAGGAAAGTCATCCAACCACTGGACATTGTATTTAACTGCCCATTCTGTAATCACGAAAAGTCTTGTGATGTTAAATTGTTAGTGTGGCCACGCATTAATTAATTTTTTTTCCAATAATTTATTAAAATCTCTTCTAAATTTTCTACTAAAACAGGTAACAATAACTCAATTTTAACTATTCTGAGTTTAAAATGTTTAAAAATGAACTTAAATAAACTTTTTCATTTATAATTTTTGAATATTCTTCCCCAGGGACCATACCAGGAAAACTGGATACATCAGCTGTAACGTCTGCCTAGAGGATTACCAGACTCCCATAAATGCACTCTCTGAACCTGTTGATGTCTATGGTGATTGGATTGATGCTTGTGAATCTGCCAACTCGTAGTCTCTGCTCTCTCTCTCTCTCTCTCTCTCTCTCTCTCTCTCTCTCTCTCTCTCTTTCTCTAGTTACTAATTTCTCTTTCACTATCCTAATATCACTTCTTCTCTGTAGCATTTTTCCCTTTCTTTCCTTCTACTAATAGCTTTTCAAGCTTTCAATTACTTTATGTTTCTTAAATATCTCTCTCTATCTCTCTCTCTCTCTCTCTTACCTGTACACATTTATTTATTCACAATCCCCTTGACTTGCAAGCATGCACAATGTAAAAATGACTATTACGAAAAATTTAATTACAAAAATTGATTTCAAAGGTTTATTTTTAGTTTATATGGTTTATGTGTGTGTAATATATATATATATATATATATATATATATATATATATATATATATATATATATTTGAGAATGTTCGTACTTCCATATATATTAATATGTAATGTATGTATGTTTGTCATATGAGATTTTTTCAATTTTATTAAAGTCTTAATGAATAAAAGTATCACCTAAATTTTTTTTCTGACTTGTTATTAATGAATGGGTACTGCTGCTTAATTGGCTTAATTATGATATTTATAATTACTTATGTAATTATTATTATAATAATTATATTTGTGATGTAATGATAATTATAGAGTAGAAATTATTATTTATTGTAGAGCAATTTGATGTAACCAATAGGCGGTAATAAATAACCAGGCGTCATTGTACCTAATCAATGATACCCAATGTATATCATAGCCACCTAGTTCTGATATATATTTGATGTAATGAAATGGTTTTTTGTTGATGGCTTAAAATGATGATGACGACAACAGTGAATATTATACCGATTGTAACGAGTGAATAGGATGATTGATTGCAGAGTTAGATTGATATGATACTAATTTCAATCAATCCTCGTTTGTACTGTAGTCTCTCCATCCCTTATGGGTGGGGCAGATATGATACTAATTTGAATTCGGAATTTTTATCGTTGCTTTGTTTCGCTCAGACATGGTATTATGTACATTGTAATCCTATTAAAACAACTTTATATATTTATTGATATACTAGAAAATAATTATATGTATAGGTGTGCGTATGTATATGAGTTTTTGTGTGCATACATGTAACATTTTTTAGTTTTTCCCCGTTGTTCATAATATATATTAGTTTTAATATTCTTATCCTAGTTAATAAAACGTAATGTCAATCAATTGCTTAATTTTCAGCTGAGTTATTGGTCATTTGGTTGGTTAATTGATTTATTGATTAATTGGTTAGTTGATTTACTGATTGTTTAGTTATTTGAGTCGTTCTATATAGAGTTATATAAGGATATATATATATATGTATAAAGTTTTATATGGCTATATAAGGTTTTATATAGTTACATTGGATTATATAGGGATATATAGAGTTATATAAAGTTGCATATAGTCATATAGGGTTGTACATCGTGTGGTTTGTATTGTAAATAATTGAGGACTTGGTTAGTTTTTCAGATTTTATTTATCCAGTTTACTTTTAGTTTGCAGGTTTTTACTTAAGTTTAGTTTTACGCGCTATTTAATTGTTGTACTACTTCAAAAGTTTAATTAAATGAGTTTTTTTTGATTATTGCGGGATGAAAGTTTTGGGATTGATCAGGTTTTTTTTTCTAAAATACTAAATTTATTTTAACGTGTCTGTTGAATCGATGGATAAATCCTAAATTAAATTGAATTATTGAATTGATTTGAATCATGAAAAAGCTGATTTTTAAACAATAATTTTTTGGTTTGGGTCGTTGATCAGTTGGTTATTTAATTATAAATCTTAAATATTAAAAAAATTACAACACAAAACAGTGGTGGCAAAGACAGCTGCTTCAATATGATGAAATGTGTAGAGTTGGGGCATGAAATTGTCGCCCTTGCCAATCTTTACCCTCCTAATTCTGGTCAGATCTCAAGATTTTCAATATTGGTTTTTTTTTTATTTTATTATAAAAAAAGACTAATTGACTTATTTTAGTTAATATTAAATTAGTTAATATTAAATCAATTATTTATAAAAAAAACTTGCCCAATTTACTCAAAACCTAGTTAAAATTTAATTTATAGATCATGTTGCCTCATTAACATAATTTATTTATTTATTAATTTGAAATAATAGTTAATTTATTTTTAATGTCAAGGTGAGCTGGACAGCTATATGTATCAGTCAGTTGGCCATGAAATCATTGATTTATATTCTAAAGCTATGCAACTGCCATTATTCAGGTTTCTATGTTATAATAATTATTATTTTTATTTATTACTGTTGTTATTATTATTATTATTATTATTATTATAGTATTATTAATATTATTTAGGCGCCCTATTTTAGGCAAGTCTCAATTGATAACAGCAGAGTACAAAGAGACTATCGATGATGAGGTAGAAGATTTATACATGCTGTTAAAAGAAGTAATGGTAGGTGTGGAAATAGTATTACAAATAATAATTATATAATTTTTTAATAATAATATTAATATTATTATTTACTAATAATATTGATGTGTCTTTTAAATGTATATAGCACTGCTTTAATGCATTTTATTTTTCGTAATGTCATCAGTTAGAATTGATTGATTGTTTATTTAAAAATTGTATTTTATTATATATATAAACACACATATATATATATATTATACTTTATTATTATAATTATTTATAATTTATTTTTAGGAATCCATCGAAATAGAAGCAGTCTCAGTTGGAGCCATTTTGTCTGAGTATCAAAATTGTAGGGTTGAACATGTGTCAGTTGACCTTTTTATTTAAAGTTCATCATTCATAATTAAGAGTGATAATAATAATTATTATTCATAATTATCGGTTATAGTAATTACCATTAAGGTCGAATAATAATTTTCGAATAATTTAATTACTCGCGAAAGATGTCGCAGGTTGAATTTGAAGCCGTTATGCCTGCTTTGGCAGAGGGATCAGTTGAGCTTGTTGGATGAGATGATTGATTCTAACATACAGGCTGTGATCGTTAAAGTTGCTTCTTTGGGTAATGTTATTATTATTTGTATTGTTTCGTTGATAATAATTTTAATAATAATAATAATGATATTTTTGATTAATTTTTTTCAAAGGTCTCAATGAAGCCCACCTGTTAAAATCATTGTCCGAGATGAGAGAACACCTCGTCGAGATGGTACAATCATCTCTCTCTCTCTCTCTCTCTCTCTCTCTCTCTCTCTTGATTACATATAAAATAATTTAAATTAAATTTAAAATAATAATAATAAAAATGAGTTTAATTTTTATTGTTCGTTATTTATAATTATTGATAATAATTTTTGTTTTGGATCAGAATAAAAAGTACGGACTGAATGTGTGTGGGGAAGGTGGTGAGTACGAAACGATAACACTGGACTGTCCACTGTTTAAGAGTTATAAAATTAAGCTGTAAATAAATTCGTTATTTTTCTATTATTATTATTATTATTATTGCCGTTGTTGTACCTGTTGCTATAAACTGTTAAATTTATAAAATTATTACATAAAATTATTGAAATTAAATAATTATTATTCTCAATAAATTATAACCTAGGTAACTTTTGCCACATCTATCGGGACATTTGCTATGTGCTATTACAGTTGATGTATTTATATTTTCGCATTTGTTTATTTTTATTTTCAAAACAGGGATGAAGTTAGGCCAGTACTACATACGCCAGACCCTTACACGCCAGTGGCCTACGTTTCCATCCTCAAAAGCTCCCTACTGCCTAAATCATTAACATAATTTATGCTAATTAAGTCCTAAATTTTTCATAAATTAAATACTCGATTTGATATGTTTAGATTAAGACTCTTTTTAACTTTGGACAAATTTATTATTAGTAGGTTATTCATGCTTATGTATTCAAATTCGTTAGGCCAATTTTGATTTATTATTGTTATTATCATTATTATTCTTTATTATTATTCTTTATTATTATTATTATTATTTGTTTATATGACACATGAAAAAGAATAGTTTTTTTCCCTTCGTGTGAGGCGTGGTTTTTAGAAATTTTTGGCAAGGTTACTACTGCAGTTATTTTTATTGTTGTTGTTGTTGATTGTGTTGTTGTTGTTTGTTGTTATTAATGACATTAGCATTAAACTTTTTTCAAGCTAATAAATAAAATTGGACATATGGACGATCGGTTATTCTCGTTCGTCAGTTATATCATCAATCTTTTTGTTATTATCGCTATTGTTGCTGTTGTTGTTATTGCTGTTGTTGTTATTGCTGTTGTTGTTATTGTTGTTGTTGTTGTTGTTTTGTCTTCTTTTTAATATTCCGATTGAATAGTAACTGGCCGAAATGAACTCTTGAGGTAAACACGGACATACAGAGGTCGCCAACAATTAATGCGTTTGTACGTGCGCGTGTGTGTTTGTGTGTGTGTGTGTTTGTACGTGTGTTAAGTCATCTTCATCTCTACTGAGGTTTATTTGTTTATTTATTTTTCATTTTTTTTTTATGAGAAAAAAATCACGCCATAACTCCTTGGCTACACACTTGCCAGATTTTAATTTATCTCATAATGGAATGATGATGAGGACGTGATGATAACGACTGTGGTGACGACGATGACGCAGCTGCCGTGGCTGTTCTGTTGATGATGATGATGGTGATGTGACAAAAAATAATCATTTTGAAATGGATGGTAATAATGATAGCAAAGATGATGATGATAAAAATGAATTATTATTGTTATTATTAACTTTATTATTATTGTTATTATATTATGTTTTATAATTATATTCATACTTTAATTTTCTCAGGGAAACTCTTTCAAATTACTTTATCAAGGGAATCAATTTATGACGAATAATTATTTATGTGTATGTATGCGTGTGTGTGTGTGTGTGTATGTTAAAATTCTTCATTTTTAAACGGTAAATAATATAATAATATCAATAATTCCTGCTAGTACATAGTTATCAATTGAATGTGACATTATATATATATATATAGATATGTATGTATATATATATATATATATGTGTGTGTGTGTATTTGTTTGTGTGTTTGTTTGTGTAGTAGTAGTAGTAGTAGTAAGTCGTAGGGTGGTTATAGTAATGATACTGGGTGGTCCAATTAAATTTCATCTGGGCATAAATAACAAGAGGCATTTATTTCTATTTATTCGTTTGGTACTATACCATTATTAACTGCCAATGTGTGTTTGTACGTGTGCGTGCGTTTGTGTGTGTGTGTGTGCACGTATGTGATGCGTCTGTTGCCGTGTTGTTGTTGTTTATTCATTATTAATGATGATCTAACAGTGTAAATGTAAATAAATACTTCCCACTTTCTCACCACTCCCTCTCTCTCTATCTTTCTCTCTCCTCCTCTCTCTTACTCCCTCTTCCTCTCTCTCCGTTTCTCCTTCTTCTGTTTCTCACTTATTTGAAAGCATTCTCTAATTTTGTCTATCGCCGATAACATTTGTTAAACTTTCATAAATTTATTTATTTATTTAAAGTAAAACCAGAAACCCACAGGGCTTGTGCGGCAACCTTCATAAATATATATATATATATATATATATATATATATATATATATATATATATATATATATATATATATATATATATATCTTCTCCCTCTCTCTTTCTTTCTCTCTCTCTCTCTCTCTATATATATATATATATATATCCTTTTCTCTCTTTCTCTCTCTCTCTCTCTCCCTCCCTCTATATATATATATATATATTTTATGATGTATTGCGCAATTGTCTGACTGGCCGTTTTTAAGTTACGTTAAAGAAATTGAAACCTTGATTTTTATTCATTTTTATCGTTCATTCGCTCATTGGTTCATTCATTCACTCATCCACACATCTGTCTATCTGTCTGTCTGTTTATCTATCTGTCTATCTATCTATTTGTCTATCTATCAATTCATCCATTCAACAATGCATTCATTCATCCATCCACACATCTATCTGTCTGTCTGTCTATCTATCTATCTTTCTGTCTATCTATCTATCTATCTATCTATCTATCTATCTATCTATCTATCTATCTATCTATCTATCTATCTATCTATCTATCTATCTATCTATCTATCAATTCATCCATTCAACAATGCATTCATTTATTCATCCATCCATCAATCCACCTCATTCGCAGACGCCAAAAATCTAACATTAAATTTTTTCCGGGGCGTGTGAGAGAGAAACTTGAAAAAATAAATTAATAATAATATAAATAATAATAATTTTTGTGTCAAACTACGCCTTTTAGGTACAATCAATACGGTAACGAAAAAGTAAGAAAGAGAGAGAGAGAAAAAAAAGAGAGAGAGAGGATGAAGTAAGAGAGAAAAAAGAAAGGGGAGGAAGTAAGAAAGAGAGAGAGTGAAAGAAAGAAAGTGAAAGAGAGAGAGAGAGAGAGGAGGAAGAGATGAAGGAGAAAAACATGACCGTCGCCTATGACAAAGAAAACAGATATACCTCACGTAAAATACCCGGTGTATATGCGTACACTGAAATTATTTCGTACACAAGTTGATGTATGTGTATAGCTACATGGTGTGTATGCATAATTACATATTTGTATGTTTACATATTTGTTTGTATATGCGTAGATGTATGTATGTATGTATATTTATATATTTGTTTGTATATACTTAGATGTTTGTATTCACATGGTATGTATGTATGTATATTTTTAAATATTTGTTTGTAAACACGTAGAATGGGCACATGTATGTATGGGTGATATATAAATACATATACATTTATAATGGAACAACTGTGATGATAATAAAAATGAAAAGGAATAATAACAACAACAATAATAATAATAGCAAAAAAAAAGAGAATAAATACGTACGTAACGATGACGTCATTATGCGTGGGTGATATCCATTGTTCAGGATGACTGTTGATGTTTTTGTTATGATGCAGATTGCAGCTTGCTTTACTCGGTTCTCTGCATGATGTGCTTACAATATTGGCAACTTTTTGCTCTGTCTGTCTGTCTGTCTGTATCTTTTTCTGTCTGTCCGTTTGTCTGTCTGTTGGTTTTTGTCTCTATGTAGCTTTTATCCTTTCTTCTTTCTTTCTTTATTTCTCTCTTTCTCACTCTCTCTCTTTCTTTTTTCATTTTTATCTTCCTTACTTCATTTTTCTCTGTCTGTTTTTTTTTTTTTGTTCATCTCTCTCTCTCTCTCTCTCTCTTGCCTCTTTTTCTCTCGTCTCTTCTCCCTCCTCTCTCTTTTTAATTAGTTCATTTAATTATCAAGGTTTATTCGGTTTATAATATATGCGTAATTTAAAGTAAAGCACTGATATGTTTGTGCGCGTGTATTTATGTATGTGTATATGTGTGTGTGTGTATCTGTTTGAGTGCGTGCGTGTGTCACATGACAGGTTAGAAAAAATTAAAAATCCGTATAATTTAGAATCCTCAAGTGCAGACAGATAAACGATGTAATTAGATAATTAGATTTTTATTATTTTTAGGAATAATAATAATAATAATAAGAAAATACTAATTACCTTATTATTTTTATTACAAATTTTTTATTATCAGCATTTTTTAAATTCACTTAAACAAACAAGACCACGGTGTCTGTCTGTACGTGCGTATGTACGTGCGTATGTATACGTGTGTACGCGTTTAAACTGTATCTACATATAAATGCACGTTGAAAGCGGGTTAACGTAATTCAAACATGAAGAAAAATAACGAAAAAAAAGACCATTTCATAATGAAAATTTTTGTCACAAATTTTTGCGTGCAACTGACCTAGTTGCATTCATTAACTCCAAACTTTCGGCCAATCGGAAGAGAGCCCGGAAATTTTCATCAATGGATGCGTACGCACTGACCTAGTAAACAACGCAGACTCCACCCATCTTCATCCTGGTTGGATGACTTAGTTATATTCGCTCTAATTTCCCGCCAATCGCGCTCAGTTTACCTGAAGAATACGGTTACTTAGTAAAAGTTGAGAGCTGTAACTTTGCGTCGCGTAATAATAACAAAGCGTACCTTAACGTTCACTCGGTTAATGCTCGTTTCCTAAATAGCCGTAACAATATTAATAATTATATTATTAATATTATAATAACTATATCATTAATATTACCATAGCCAAATATTATAGCTATAATATTTATTATTTTTATTATGAAATTATGTTTTTTTTTATTTTTGTTTTTTGTAACAGTGGGATAGTTAAAGAATAAGGATGGACTTTTAAGAAAAACCTTTCTAGACGAATTTTGGCCTATATAAAAAGTTATTTTTTTCAGCAATATATATATATATATATATTATTGTTATTAAGGCATAATAACATAATAAAAAAAATTATTACATATAATAATATATACATTTATATATGAATGTTTCAATGTGCTAACGCATTTTTTATGTATGTGTGTACGTAAGTATGTGTGTATATACGAAGCTACAAGCGACACGGATTCGTACGTACATATACTAATTCTATATGCGTAATTATATCTAATGTATCCGTATAGTATCTGTGTATAATTAGTATCCATTGATATATTATTACGGTCTTTTGTATGTGTGTATCAAACATAGAAAACGAGAAACTTTTTTGAATCTTTTTATACATACATACATACGTACGTACGTACGTACGTACATACATACATACATACATACATACACACATACATACATACATACATACATACATACATACATTCATGAATACATACATATATACATACATAAACATATGCATATATACTTGCATACATACATACATATATATACAGTTGGACTGATTAGAGTCTGGCCTAATATTATTATAAAAGTCTACGGTTATTGTTTAGTACTTATTCTAAAATTTCATTTTCGTAGTGATTTTTTGCAAAGTTTGCAGTAAATTTGTGGTCAATTACCGATAATTAATGTTAATCAATGCCAATTAGTGGTCAGTTTATGTTAATTAGCTACTAATTTACAATATTTAGTTGTTAATTGACGTTTATTTATCAAAACTTGTAATCAATTTGTGACAGTTAGTCCTTAGTTTATGGCAAATTAGTGTTATTTATGCCTAATTGACAGTCAATTAGTATTTAATTAACGGTTAATTAG